GTAGACTGGCTGAACACTGGTAACGATCTTACTGCTGAGGCATAAAACGACAATCTCGATCATCGAGCATGATGTCACGATTTTCTTTCACGGAACGGAAAAGTTTTATCACGGGATTTCATTGGATCTGTGGCATTGTTCTCTGCGAAGATATCCATTTCCTTGACTTCTGCTTCTGCGTATATCTTTCTATCAGATAATGACCAAGGGAACTGGATTGGATTGGATTGGGAAAACATGGTTGTCGACGATCAGGAAAGACGTTGGCTCCTGGAACATGTGATCCAGCATGACGTTATGACATGAAGTACACACATGATCTCTCATTTCAAGCTTTCCTGACCATGCAGGTGACTGTGAATCACGATGCTTATACTCTAACTAGCTCAGCACACACACACCGTTTGATATGCATGTCTAATGCACAATGGCAAACCACATCTACATCCAGAAGACCAACGGAGTCTAGTCCGGTCCAGAGTTTACCGTTGACTAGTCGTGGTAATCGGATGGGGTAGACTAAAATGGCGCGTCGGATGGAGTCTATTCGCGAAGGCTTGGAGCTAGACCCCAGGATTCTATGATCCGGAGGAAGGTCCGGAAATGGGATATCTAAATGACGTTTGTGGGGTCGGGATGATGCGGCATACAGTAGCGATTGTGTGAAAGGAGTTTTGCTGGTATTCCTGGATCGATGGATATTTACGTACCAGTAGTCTAGCTTACCTACTAACAGCAGACGGGCAAAATTGTTGTCTCTTTCCAAACCATCCACGGATCTATTAGCGGTAGCGCTAGCACACTCAGTTACTATCCTACACGAGATATCTTTCAAGTTCTTCGAGATGTAATCAATCAATGTATATTTCGTGGTCGCGAAGGCGGCTGAACTTCAAGTGCCAGTCCCGTGATGCCACGGTTGCCTAATCCTGAGTAGTAGGAACTTCGCGCGGGCTGCGCTCAAGTCCTGTACATCTCCATCCCACACCATGACCACTTTCCATCCCTTTCCACGGCTTCCTCTCGAGCTCCGAGAGCAGATCTGGAAGGATACCGTCGAGCCACGTACCGTCGACGTGCGGCGTGTTCGAGATAAGTGGTCTCAACCCTACCTAGGTAGGTATGGCCAACTGGTCTCGTCTACGCCCATACCAGCCATACTACATTCCTGCCGGGAAGCGCGAAACCTTGGATTGTACAAGCGTGTCCACTTTGAAGTTGACGTGGTAAAGAAATTCGAAAACAACCACGCGCCGGAAGTCCTCATCGAGAAATTCTTCACGCCGGATGAGCAGCGAGAAGAGCTCGAGAAGGCAGGCTGCCTCAAGACTGAGCAGCGCTATGTCTGGCTGGATCTCGATATCGATATGCTGGACATCGGCCGTTCTGCGTTCTACGATTACAGTTCCATCGCATCAGCCGTCAAGCGCCTCAAGTTTGAGCGAGACGACCCGGATGATTCACCTGAAATCATGGAGTTTGGTAGTGTGGAGGAGATCCACATCGTCTGCCCAACAGGGTTCTGGGTGTGGGCTGGGGTTGTGTACCATTATAACTGGCCCTGCGCTGAAGAAAAGCTCTTGTTTATTGAGGCTTTCAGTGGTCGAGTTGCGCGTGCCATGGAACTTGAAGATGTTTGTAGACAGGACAATGAAAACGACGGGTATTGAGGCTGGATGCATGGTCTTGTCTTTCTTTCTGGCTGTCGCAAAAGACAGAATTTTGTTGGGAGTGAAGAATATGGGAAGGCGTAACTCTATTAATGGAATACTGTCGATTACGTTAAGACTTTTCGACAATCTTGTGAACCGACGCACCAGAGTTCTCGACCAATTTCTTCATATTATCAATTATGCCAGACGATTTAGCCCTGTTCTACCCATACCAACACATCAAGCCAAGGCAGCCTTCCTGACCATGTCCCCCACCTCCCTCACATTCCTAACAGCCCCCTCCAAAACCCCTCTCACCAGCGCCCCAATATCCCTAACCCCCAACCCACTCCGCCAAAACCTCCACGCACCCCCAACAGCCAACACGACCGCCAACGCCCTAACCAGCCTCCTCGCCCTCATCCTCACAATGCCCTTGCGCGTATACTCTATATTCCAGTCATTCCACTTGACAAAAGTACACCTCCGCCAAAATTCAATCTGGGTATAGGGATACACGGTCGAGTTCCAGCCGTCGCCGGTGAAATACCAGCTTGAGCAGCCGCTCTGCCAGACGGTGTTTTTGAGAGCGCGTTGCATTTCGGCAGTGTAGGCGACTTCGGCGGAGTGCTTGACGTCGATTGTGCGGGCTTCGTTGTGGAGGAGGAGGCGGATGAAGTTTAGGGAGTAGTTTACCATGTCTGGGGTTTGTGTTAGTAACGTTCTTGGTATGAATAACGGTGAGCGTTAGTTGGGAGGGCTTAGACGTACTCTCACTTGCCATGACGACGCTGGAGTGCCCAGTTGCAGTGTTGGGTCCAAAGATCATCATGAAGTTGGGGAAGCCGTCGACGGCAGTGCCTTGGTAGGCTTGAGCGCCTCCTCGTTCTTCCATTACTTGGACGAGGTCTTTTCCGCCTTGGCCGATGACTTTGAGGGGGTGGAGCCAGCGCGTTGTGTCGAAGCCGTTGGCTAGGACGATAACATCGGCGGGGATTTCTCGCTCGGGGTAATCTTCTTCCTTCGCGTCCTTTGGATACGTTGCCCCCGGACCGATGACAACACCATGCTCTGTGACTCTGTTCATCGGCTGTGTAGTCAGCTCGATCTTTGGGTCGTTCAGGCTGCGGAGCCATCGCTTGTCGAAGATGCGTCGTTTGCAACCCACGCCGTAGTCTGGTGTCAGGATCTCCCAGTACTTTTCTGGAGTGCGTTTGCGCATGTTCTGGAGGACCTTCTCTTCGTAAAGTTTCCGCTCTTTGTTAGCGTATGGTGTGTTGGGGAAGATCTTGAGGAAGCCTGATTCTGCCGTGGCGAAGATGATGAAGCGCAAAAGCTCTTTGAGGCCCGGTACGTTCTTCATCAGCTTAGGGCCGTTCTTCTCCCACCACTCGTCACCCCCGGGCGCGTGGACAGCTGGAGTGACCCACGGTGGTGATCTCATCAACTGAGTGACCTTTGTAGCGTTGTAAGGCGCGTGGGGTAGAGGAGGAACGAGTTGCGCGCTGCTACATCCAGTGCCAACAACAACGACGTTCTTGTCTGTGAAGTCGACGCTTTCATCCCACCTCGCCGAATGGAACATCTTGCCCTTGAAGTTCTCAATGCCCTTAATCTCGTCAGGCCAGCCCCTGGGTTCGACCAGTCCTCCCACACAGCTAAGCACAACCTTGGCCTTCACAACTTCCGTCTCCGAGTATACGGCATGCTCGCCTTTTTCTTGCGCGATCTTCATGCGATCCTTTGCTGACAGGTCGCCCATGCCTGAGATCATGCGACGGAGAGTGACCTGCCATAGCTGCTCGTCTTCTAGCCATTTACAGCTTTCAATATCCGTGTTGAGCTCGAATTTGTCCGTGATGCGGTATTTCTCGCATACTTCGTGGTAGTAGCGTACGATTTCTTTGCCAGGCGGGTGGAACGAGGACCAACTGGGGTTTTGGGCGAAGCTGAAGGAGTAGAAGACGGCGGGTATATCGCTGTGTGGCTGTTAGTCTCGTGTTTGTGGCACGGTGGCGGCTGAATACAGAGACCCTGGTTGTGACCACCTGCATGTCTTCGGGGAGATCGCGGACTTACCAAGCGACACCGGGGTACCGATTGATCCACCAGGTTCCTCCAATGCCTGCTTGCCGATCGAATACGCGAAACTGATCAAATCCAAGTTGCTGCTTCAGCTGGCAGGCCATAGCAATGCCAGATGCGCCTGCACCGACAATGATGACGGGGTAATATGTGTAGGCATCCTTCTCGTAGCCATTAACACGTCTTATAGACTCGGTGATCATCTTCGCAAGCAGTCGGGTTGCTGAGAGGCTGTATACGCAGACGTCCAAAGGTTCGCCTTGAGCTTCAACGCAGCGTACGAGGCGTGATTATGAGTCCGACGACAGCTTCGTCGAGATTAAACTTTAGCCGGGCGCCTTATTCGGTGGTCGAGCTGGTGAAGACCTCGGAGAGTCGATCGCATGTGAAGATGAAGTTGACATGACAGCAGTTCCTTGATGGAGAACCATCTTGCCAATGGACGGGACGTTCGTCCTCCATAGTGCATGGCGTGGGGCGAAACTATGTCCTGAGCCTCGGTAGATTGGCATGAACGCGTTAGCTTTGCGAGATGGCACGTCATGTAACGACGGACATATCGGCGACCTTGGTATTCCGCGATTTGTCCTGTCTCTGAAGGATTCACATGTTCATGACCATACCTCCGCACAAGCTGAAACTCGCTTCCGTCTCTTTCTGCAAGACTGCATAGCCGATAGGTCAGCCAATTGATACCTCTTGATCCTCTCTCAAGGTTGAGTAGCAGCGCTCTCGAGCCATGGATGAGAGACGTTCGCTGTCAATCTTGTAATTTGGCAAATACAGTACATCCATAGAATTCAGGCCAGGCGGGAAGTCACGTCGTTTATGTATGCAATGAGGCTGAACAATATATGGGTCTGGTAAGCCACAAGTCTATGGCTGCGCCGCTGGCTGACATGTAGCCAATAACAAGACCCGTTCTACAGAACAAGCTCGATGATCGTTTTCTTGGACAGAGATCTCTACAGGCTGCCTTCAAGTCATGTAGTGGTGCTCAATAGTTACCCAAACAAGTAGGAGGTCTTGCTTGCCCAGGTGTAACGCTCTCACGTGCTGACGCGGGTAGCGCACGGGCGCATAATGTTAGGCGGTCGCGAACTTCCGAGTTGACCTCATCAACTGAATTCAGCAACAGCTAGACCCTCTACACCAACAAGTTGGACCTTTTGAGGAAGATTTGTTCGCCTTCCTGAACCATGTACTGTCCTTGAATAGGAAGTTGTCACCTCGAATCTGCGCAGAGAAGGACGTTCCAGCGCAATGAATACCATCGACGGTTCCGACCGTCACGTCAAGACAGACGAAGGCATGCTGCTGGAATACCTCAGCTAATACGGACGTGACTAATACTTCCCAGCCCCGCCGCCGTCATTGCTTGCGATCGTGCTCGATACCAACCCGCATGCGTGGGCGCATCTATCCTCGACCCTCTCACTTTCGGCCGCCCTAGCCAACATCCTCGTCTTCATCAACGCGCACTTGGCCTCGGGAAACGCCAATGAAGTTGCCGTGATAGCTTCACATTCGCATAAGACGACATTTCTCTATCCAACTCCTGCGGAGCCGCAGCCTCAACTACGGGGTGGGCATACAAATGGGCATGCACAGACGAATGGACATGGAAAGGACAAGGAAGGCCATATGGCAGAGAGTGCGAACAAGTACCGGCCGTTCGCAGTTGTAGAAAGTGCCATCCTACGCAACTTTGCCAAACTACTCAACGAGACGAAAGAGAGCCATCTGGAAGCAACACCAACCACGCTCATCGGTGGTGCCCTCTCAATGGCCCTTACCCACATCAACAAGCAGACCATCCTGCATGCTCCCACGGCCGCCTCCGCTGAGAGCACATCTCTCGCGGCACTCGCCGACTCGGAAAACACCCACGTCGACCGCGTGCCCCTCACATCTCGCATCCTCATCGTATCCGTATCCGGCGACCTTGCCAACCAGTACATACCCGTCATGAACTCCATCTTTGCCGCACAAAGAAAGCGAATACCTATAGATATCTTGAAATTGGCTGGCGACACTGTGCTGCTGCAGCAAGCAAGCGATGCGACTGGAGGTGTATACATGAAGCCGGATCGCCCAGAGGGCCTGCTACAATATCTGATGATGGCATTCTTACCAGATGTAACAGCGCGGACAAGTCTCATAGTTCCCAGCGCCGGCGGTGTCGATTTCCGTGCGGCGTGTTTCTGCCATAGGAGGGTTGTTGACATCGGTTTTGTCTGCAGTGTGTGCTTAAGCAGTAAGCCAAATCGAACATGCCATCCCAATCAACACAGTGCTAACCTCCATCAGTCTTCTGCAACCCGGATCTTCCTGATAACCTGTGCCTGACGTGCGGCTCCTATCTATCGCTGCGCAGTGCTGTCATGAACCCGCCGGCATTGATACCACGCAAAAAGAAAAAGAAGAAGAAGGCCGGGACGGATTCTGCAACACCAGGGGCAAACACTCCTGTAGGATCTGGTACTCCACTCCATGGTTGAGATACTGATCTCGGATCTGGAATCCATCCCACCAGATCCCATGATTTACCGCGTTACACCTTTCTCGGACGTGTATGCATATCTGCTACATTCCCCGGCCCGTGGCGTAGGCTAGTTCCACCGAAAGACGCAAATTTGCCCACGTTTTGGGGGAATGTGGAGACTTTGACGGTAGGCGTATTGAGCCACTAGGACGGCTGTACGACAGCCTTCCCCTTCGAATTGGAAATCGTGCCAGCATACTTTGTTCTCCGAAGCCTCGCCTACGCAAGTGGCTCTATGATACCACGCGCGCTTGCAACTCTATGTGGGGAGATCTCTCAACGCAGTGTTCAGTTCACGGCGGCATGATCCTTTTGCCGTCGACACAGACGTTTCAACAGCCATGCGTGCGGTATTAGTTCTGCTGATTACTCACCTGCCAAAGCGTCGGCCGAGCCCGTAGCATTGGAGGATCATTTGGCATCCGAAAGACTCGGTGCAATTAGTTGGCAGCACAATCAAGCCCAAGAGATGGAAACATCTCCGCGATAATGCCTAGAGAAGTTCCTCAAATGAAAGCTCAAGAGCCTTCCTGACGAGACCAATTGGAAGCCTTATACCCACATCTCAACAGTCTCAGCTCATTGTCCCTGTTTCTCACGTACCAATAGCCATGATCTCGGTACTTTGCGGCCATATCGCACCCTACCAACTGCCATATATGAATACTCACTGGCAAATGGACAGATAGGGCAGTGACAGGGTCCATAATTCAGGCTGAGCATCATCGTCGCCTGCACCCAGCCGCGACAGTTATCGGTGAATCTCAGGGATAGCGGCGCATGGCGCAGGTAAAAGCAAGATGGTTCAATGCAGGCAAGACGATTGCGGTAGACGAGGCGAACAATGAATGCAGCAGCATGGTGTGATGCTATTCTAGACTTGGACATAATTATGGTGAGATGACGCCAGGGGTGAGGATCCCCGTTGGACCTGCATGTTGCATCTGATGGATGTTGGAGGCGGCTGCGGAGGGAGTCGCGGGATGTGGGTAGCGTCGCCGGCAGGCCTGGGCGTGGGATTGAGAGAACGGGGGAGATAAGGGATTCCTGGGCCATTTCCGACGGCATCCGGAGAGACTGAAGTCTGAAACACTTGGGAACGAACTACTTGTAAACTCTAACAGAGTGATCACACCACAAACCGTAAGCTCAAGACACCAATATCCCTTATCCCGTACTCGGGAACGACATGCTGCATGGAGTCTCTGATCGCCATGTCTACGCTAATTGCGCACCTTACCGAAAGGAGACTCGCCCAGCCCCGGAAGATGTCAGGCCAGGGATGGCCTGGACTTGTTTCTAAACTCCAAGCACGAACGCAGCCTATCAGCCGCCCTCACGTTATCACTACCCTTGCATCAACAGCTCTCCCAAGCTCTGAACAATGTTTTCGAATCATTGCGCTGATAGCGAACGAGCTGTGCAGAGGGGGCTCAGTTAACGCATTGCCTGATGTGACCCCAGGACTTGGTAAGTCTGACAAGATGAAGCGAATAAGTGCATCCCATGTCGATCAAGAAAAGAGATACCAAACCGTGGCACAAGATCACCGCGAGCTGCTCCACAGGGTGGTGGAACCAAATGATCGCATCCAGGCCTTGCGGCAATCGATCACACACAGCCCTGAGGTCATCCCACACGTGTGGTTCGACAGCCGTAACAGGCCCAGCGCCTCTCAAGGGCCTCCGTCGTTTCCGCCCCGTCCCAAGTGTGGGCGGCACCCTGCAGTTCTGCATTTTGGCTTAGCGACGCACCCGTAGTCGGACATTGGCTGACAGGGCCTGGCTTGGGGCGGCCATTGCCCATCCCAGTGCCCACCCGTCAACAGCAGCTATCAGACACCCCACCGCCCGTGGCGTTTGTGCATTCGGGAGAGAGGGGGATGTTCATGCCGGTTTGCTGGGAGATTATCAAAGCGGCATCGCCTATTCCACTGCGGACGGAAGCCAACTGAAGCTTGGATGCTCTCTTGTTTCTCAGGCATACCCATATAGTCCACCACCGACCCCTCGGTTCCATTGATTGTTGGTCGTGAGCGTGTCCACCACCCAAGCCACTCTCGCCTATAACACATATTTAGCACCGTTTGCACATGCAACTTTTGTTTGCGCGTTCCTCCTCCCAGCGGCGACACCTTTACTTTTTGGCTTGTTCGAGCTACGCAGATACTGGGGCGGACGCCAAGGTTCAACTGCAGTCTTGGAGATCCCTGATCGTGTAGCGATCGTCCAATCCTCACTTTGCTTGCGCACGCGCACCATCCCTTCCCTTCTCTACGAACCCATCTTCTGGAGTTTTATATCGATCCCTCCTACGTCTTTTCGGATTTTCGTCACAAACTGCGCATACAACATACACATACCGCGATACATTACAAGAAGCATTTAAGTCGCAAAGAGCGACGAGGACCCGGGAACACACGACATCATGGATCCAGTATCTTCGGGATTGGACCCCACACTCCCTCTGGAGCCGTTTGGTAATACCACAGATGCCACGGGCGGCGATTCGAGGTTATACAATCTCAATGTGTTCTACAACGTGAGTTATTCTGGCTACGGGAACTTGTTAAGGTTTTGGAGTAACGCGGGGCTAACCTGCCATGTTTCTAGCCCGGCGACATCGCTTGGATGATCACATCAACCGCCCTCGTGCTTCTCATGATACCGGGTGTAGGGTCAGTAAACCATTCTTCCCGGCACATGCATTATCATGTATACGGGCCTAACAGAATTGCAGATTCTTTTACTCCGGATTGGCGCGAAGAAAGTCGGCGCTATCGCTACTATGGCTGTCTGTCATGGCGACCGCGGTCGTTTCTTTCCAATGGTTCTTCTGGGGTTACTCTCTAGCCTTTTCGCACAAGGCTGGCAAGTACATCGGCGCGCTGGATAACTTCGGTTTGATGAATGTGTTGGGTGCGCCTTCGGTGGGAAGCCCGCGGATTCCCGATCTCATGTTCTGTGTCTACCAGGGCATGTTCGCTGCCATCACGTATGTTCACCTTATATTGGAATCGTGGGGTCTAAGCTAACTTGATATGCAGTGTTGCACTTGCCGTTGGAGCCGTGGCCGAGCGAGGACGCATGCTGCCTTGCATCATCTACATGTTTGTCTGGACGACGATTATCTACGACCCGATTGCGTGCTGGACCTGGAACCCATCCGGATGGGTCTTTCAGATGGGTGGCTTGGACTTTGCCGGCGGAACTCCCGTCCATATCGCTTCCGGATGTGCTGCCCTCGCCTACTCGTACATGCTCGGAAAGCGAAGTGGTCACGGTACCCAGGAGCTCAACTACCGTCCCCACAACGTCACGCACATCGTTATCGGCACCGTGTTCCTCTGGGTGGGCTGGTTCGGTTTCAACGCTGGTTCCGCGCTGTCCGCTAACCTTCGCGCTGTTATGGCCGCTGTATGCACCAACCTTGCTGCTTGTGTCGGGGGTATCACATGGTGCCTAGTTGACTACCGTCTCGAACGCAAGTGGTCAACTGTTGGCTTCTGCTCTGGTGTTATCGCTGGTCTCGTCTGCATCACTCCTGGTTCCGGATACGTTCCAGCCTGGGCTGCGGTGGTGTTCGGTGTATGCGGTGGTGTCGCTTGCAACTACGCGACTAAGCTCAAGTACTTCCTGCGCTGCGATGACGCCCTCGACATCTTTGCGGTTCACGGCGTTGGTGGTTTCATTGGAAACATCCTTACTGCCTTCTTCGCTGCGTAAGTCATACACGCTGTCAGTCTCGATATATTCCATGACTAACAACCACATAGTGACTACATAGCGCATCTTGATGGATACACCGTTATCGATGGTGGATGGCTCAACCACCACTGGATCCAACTCGGCTACCAACTCGCCGACTCCTTCACCGGCGGCGCCTACTCCTTCCTAGGCACCTGCCTCATTCTCGGCGCCCTCGACTTCATCGGCCGCTTCATCCCCGCCTTCAGACTGCGTGCAACTGAAGAAGAAGAAGCCGCCGGTATCGACGACGTCGAGATTGGCGAGTTCGCTGTAAGTTTATGTCCTAAACAAAACAACATCATCTGAAGAATTGCGAAACTAACGTATACGCAGTACGACTACGTCGAGCTCACGCGCGAAGTCAAAATTCCCGACGACGACATCATCGATGAAGGCATGTCGACGCATTCCCTCGAAGGACACGGCGCAGGCATGGCCATGACGAGCCACCACGAGAAGAATCAAGACTCTGTTGATTCGGCGAATCAGCTCGCGGAATGGGCTCATCGCGCATAAAGCCTTTGTTGTTGCTTTGCGTTTTCACTTGTTAATCGCTCTATACCAATTTTCTTTCTGTGCACGTCGGTTTGACATGCTGTGTATGTGTATGTATGTATTTCAGAAGGGTATGGATGGATGATGTAAATGATTGGTTTGATCTGGATTGGTGAGGATGGGTAGCCTTAGCTATGACTTGAGGGTAGACGGTAATAGCTCTGCTTGTGTAGATGTTGAATACGCTATTAATGACTCCGTTCTGCGTATACACCGGTGACCACTGTAATCGCCGTATACACGTGCCCTCAACATGAACAGCGTATAGAATCCCCAATGGCATACCCAACCATTCCAGCAACACCACTTCCACTCACCATAAAATCACTCACAGCACCAACTCCGCACATCAAGAAGCCGAACAGTAAACTCCTAAGATTCTCATTTCGGCATCCAAGCTCATCGACTCACATACCAAGAATCTGCTATAAAACCCCCCACTCCACCACCCTTCACACGTCTCTGAACAATACTTGAACAAGAAAAAAGAACTAACCTCGACGCAAGAGTCCCAAACCCACGATGCTCCTTTCCTTTGTAGTGTGAAAAGCGTGAAACTAGTGACGATGAAGAAAGAGAGAAAGAAAGAGGGACGTTCTTTGCAACTAAGCCAAACTCAAGTGCACATGATGCCCCCCCTCTCCATTTTGACTCGCGCCCTTTTCTCATTTGCGGGGGGTTGCAAAGGCCATAGTAATGTGTATTGTGTGTTTCCCCGCCATCTGGGCATCAGCCCTCTTCGTACCATTCACCATGTCTTATCACGGCACGCAGGGGGTCACGACTGACAAAGCGCGGCTCGGACATCTAGCCCGCCGCTGCGCCGACACCGTTCGTGTCCATGGGGCTGCCCCCTCCGGCGTTTGAGCCGTTTGTCGGCCGTCGTCGTGTGCGGATTGCCTTCTTTCTTCGGTCTACTGGCGCGCCTTTGCCGCCTTCTGCTACGTCGACCATGTTGAGGTCGTCGTCGTCGGGCCGGTCTGCGTCCTCGTCATGTTCTTCCCAGTATCTTCTCGTCTCGTCGAGCTCGGTGACGTCCGTGGGCCGCATCCGTAACCATTTCATCCGCGGCCCTGATCGTGCGCGCTCGCTGACGCGGAAGCCGTAGATGCGCGGTTCGTAGATGCTGCCTGTGCCGAGGCCGGGGGCGAGGTTGTGCGGTGCGACGCCGTTGATCGAGGTGACGTTTGAGGGTGTGGTATTCCGCGACTTGCCGTCGGTGCTTTGCGATTGTAATTGTTGTAGGGCATCGACTGTGTTTGATGCGTTGTTGCGCAGCCCGCCGCCAATGTCAAGGTCGGTAAAGGTCATGAAGAAGAGCGAGGGGAAGGTGGTGCCGAAGAAAGCTCCGTCGACGGTCTGGAAGCGCGAGTTGGGCGGGGTATATACGTCTAGGCAGGAAGGGCAGAACAGCTTGACTGTTTCGTGGCCAGGACTGTCGTTGAGGCCGACTGGCAGGACTTTGCACGAGTTGCAGTTTACGCGCGGGCAGGTGCCAAAGTGCTGGAGCTCGTACTTTTCAGCCATCTGCTGTATGCCTGGTCGCGAGGTGATGTAGCGCTGATGTATGAGGCCGTAGAGCAGCTCGGCGGAGCTCTCTATCACACTAAGATCAGAGGCTATGCGGAGATGTCTTCGGTCGCCAGCCCGTCGGTAGCCCGGTGCTCGCTCATCGCCCAGTATCTCGTCTTCCTCATCCTCTTCTTCCTCCTCGTCTTCCTCGTCCTCGTCGTCCTCCGGCTCCACGTCCAGTATCATCTCCAGAGCTTCCTTGTACATGGGCACCTGCGATTGCAGGCCCGTCAGGTTGAAATCATCCTCGATGAAGTCTTCTGACACCTCAGCGAAGTACTCGTGACCCAATAGCCCGCAGAAGGACGCGATCCACGACTCGGCCACCTGCGAAGAGGACGACATGCTGTCTGGGGTGTAAGGGCGTCGGGGCCGCTGTCTAGACGCGGCTCAGGTTATGACGCGCAGCCGCAATGCGTGCGTGGATACGAAGGGCGAGGGGTTGGAAAATGCGAATGTGGGGGTAATGGTTCGCGATCGAGACAGAAGCGAAGGGTGCCGGGGAGGAGAGCACGGTTGAGTGTGAGGGTATGTTTCTTTTGCGAAGCTGCACTTGCAGCCTTGTTATCGCATGTGAGTTGGCGTTGGGGTAGCGGACAGGGAAGGGCTCGGCGAAAGTCGTAATCCAGGTGAGGCCGGTGGGGGAGGGGTCGAGCGAGCGCAGAGCCTGATGGGAGAGCGTTAAAGTTTCTGTGCGCCGAATTTGCCTCTCTATCAGTACGGCCGATCGTCAGGCGTCACAGGTGTATGTTTGAAGCTGTGTTTTGGCAGGTGAAGATCGCAGGTTGCCCGAGCTTAGCGATTGGGTACCACGTGATCTAGCCAGGCCCTGCGAACTTGCAGGTGCTAGGTATAGTGCAGAGGAATCACGAATGTACTGATACCTACAGAATATTATTTCAAGTACGTAGTGAGTATTACAAGAGCGACGTAAGTGTCCATGATATATCAGAAGAATGGTGGCCCAATAGCTTTGCCCGGGCATCAGAACAAGTCCCTCAGTATCCTCGCCAGCTCGTCATTCTCATGTGAGAAACCATTCACAAACTCTCCATTTGAGTTGGGCAGCTCACTTCCTGCGCCCCCAAAGCCGTTGAGGTTGAAGATGCCCCCAGCAGCCTCGAACAACGTCGTCAAATCGCTAGCCATTCCATGCGGTGTATCGAGGTTAGGTCCATTACGCCCATTCGAGAACAGGGCAAGATCATCCATCGAGTGACCTGCAAGGCCCGCCATTGCGACAGCGGCGGAAGAGTGCGCATCGTGAGTGTCATCGTTGCGTATGACTAGTCCGAGACGGGGTCCAACTTCCTTGATCGTCTTGATCGTTCTCCACAAGCGTTTCGAGACGTATGAGTTCGACGAAAGACCACGGACAAGCTCAAGCGCCATGTAGAACTCGTCGCGAGACTGCTGGCTGAATTCGGCCGGCGCGTGAGCCACAGCCAGGAAGAGTACCGCTAGCGCCGATATCAGGAAGTAGTTGAACATGGTCTGCTGGCTTCTGTAAATGTCTGAAGTTTGGTTGATATATGTCAGTATACGGATGGTATCTTTGGCGACCTTGACTACGACGTGTGCAAAGTCGAGGTTCTCCATGATGGTAGTTGCGGTATGTAATACTGGGCGGTAGATGAGGATGCGCATCTGGTTGGCTCGCAGGTAGAGCACGACCTGCAGACGATGGATGACCCGTGCAGGAGGGTCAACCTGTCTACCACTATCCGGGTGGACAAACTTCAGCGTCTCCGGTATACTGCGGTGCCAGTTCAGAACCTGGAAGTCAAGAAAAGAGATATCATCCTTGTTGATCTTATCCTGGTGTCCTACATCGGCGACAGACTTCCATACTTTCGAACCGATGACAGAGTACTGGATCATGGCATTGAGATACGGCGTGGATTCGTGCGTTGATATATCCGGTTTTGGAACATTAGTGTCAATATCCGCGTCTTGCAGAGCAAAAGGCATGCCAGTGCCGAAGCTCCACCGACGGTCCAGCACGTAGATAGTCCAGAAAGTCCGGATCGCCGCCGCTTGCTCTTCAGGATCAGGGAAGAGAGCCACATAAGTGTCTCGACGATGTAAACCCAACTCCAGACAGTGTCGTGCCGCCAGGCCAATCACTCGCCATGCCATGGCTTCGTCGTCCCGAGTGAAGTGATACATAGCCTAGGTCTGTAAGCAGAGTCCAGTTACACCGAACATACTACTTACTGTCAACACCAGCAGGTTAATTCCATGGAGGCTAACAGGCTCAGACAAGGCCTTGTCAACGATCTTATGCACGTTCTCGAAGAGCCTCTCGCCGAGAGGATCCTTCCCTCCACCTTCAAGAACCAGTGTGATAGCGAGAACGAGCTTCAGTACGCTGATCTGATCGTCCACCATTGCGTCCGACCCAGGAAGAGCACCTTGCATCAATCCCGACCTAGCCGCTGCTTCTACAAAGGTAAACAGCATCTCGGCATAGCGCTGCAGTCTATCGACTTCCAAGATGGGGTACATAATACCCATCTCCTCGTGCCATACATGCACCAAGCGGATAGCCTCGTGCTTCGAGATGGACCATATGGGGTCTTTATCCGCGTGTAGGGCGCGTTTCGGCATCATAGCGTTGGGTATGGGAGGCGATGCCCTGGGTGTCGCGTCGCGGGTCAAGATGCCGTCGTCTTCGCCTTCCTCGCCAGCGTTTATGCCCATAGTCTTCAGGCTCGACCTCGCCACCCCTACATTGAATGCGTTCGACGTCGGGCCGTGGAAGCGGGGGTGCTTGCTGAAGGATTTCGATCGTGAGCGGGCGGAGGGGGGAGGCAGCATAGGCGTCTGCTGGTAGTCGGGATTGAAGGGTGTGCCGATGGAGCCGTTGCTCTGTACGTCGACCTGGGCCCGGAGCGCGCTGAGGTTTTGGAAGAGATCGTCAACCTGCTGCTGGAGAGAAGTTATATGCGTCGACATCTGCTTGAACTCGTCGCTGTCTTTGAACGAGTTGCAGCAGTTGGGAGCGTAGGCGCACTCCAGGTTGAGATTGCCGCAGCGCTGACATGGCGTCTCGCCATTGCACTTGATCTTCCTCCTTTTGCACTCATTACACGCAATGCTGATATACCTGTTGCCTGAGACGGGTAGACAGAGTCAGTGTCGGGTCACATGCCATCTCATGCACGACGGGCTTACTTACGCTTCGCGCGCTGGACGGGCGTGCCATTCTCGTGTTTCCGCTTTGCGCTACTGCCGGATTCGTTTGGCGGACTCATGGTATCGCTCGCATTATTCCTGTCTGCTGGCGATGCGGCGCTCATGGTTAATTCCGCCTGCGCGCGAGTGTTCCGCGACAAGAAGTTAATGTGTGGAGCTGTTAGATGTCTCCGGTGTCTGTGCTTTTGCGGGGATGGAAGCCCTGAAGGATCCGCTTAGCCCGAGCCGCTGTACGAAGTACGAAGGCGCTCGATCTTCTCAGGGTTTACTTTGAGCCATTACCTATTGAAAATAAGGATCTTGGTTTCATCAGACAACCAGGGCATCATATGTGCATAGTAGCTTTCAAAAAAAGGGAGAAATGCTCATTTGATGGCTTAATCTGCTTCTCAATCATCGTCTAACCCAAACTCCTCTCCAACCAGATCAGTCAGCTGCGCCAAGTGTTCAAACACCTCAGCATCCTGCCTAGCTACCCTCGTCGCTTTGAGAAGCAGCGGATACAGCCTATGCAAATGTCTCCTATGTTGTGACCTGACACCCGGAGCATCAGGTATAGCCTGCGGCTCGCTTTCCAACTGTTCCAGTTGCTCTAATACAAAGAGCAACTCGCGTCTCTGCGACTCTGGCGCCGGCATACGACCGCGAAGGGGCTGGTCTGCGATATACGTCTTGAGGGGAAGTGCGCATCTCAAGATGAGGTATGGGGCCGCTGCTTTGGCCAGCCAGATACGTTCGCGACTACTATCGTTCACGGCGACGAGATTGAAGAGCTCGGAAAGACAGACATAGCTCATATCTGGTCGCCAAGTGTAGTTCAGCTCGGCAGTCTGTCCAAGACGTGTTTTGTAAAGCTCCTCCAGTGGAGAGGTGCTAATGTCAGGTAGCTCTCCGGATAAAGGACTGTGTATCAGAGATGTGCTGAAGAGATTGCGCGCATAGCTTTGCCGGAGACTATGTGGGAGAGAAGTCGAGCCCAGTGGTAGGGTAATTAGGCTGCGAAATTGAGCGAAAGATTCAATGTCGAACTGTTCGTCCTTCTCTAGAGAGGCGGGTGCATTAGGCAACGATTGTGCACGCGTGATGCAGTGCGCAATATTGACAAGGGTGGTCCAGATATCCTGATTGGAGTTGACGTGTGGCAATACCGACTCAAGTATAGCTGTAGATGTTGTTGTAGCCTTTTGCCATAAGGTCGGTGCTCGACCCTCTCGTTGCCACACGTACTTCTCTTCAATCGGTTGCGCCAGACTGGTAAAAGCGAAAGACAGTGCATCAGTCATGTACATCTCTTTCAGCTCAACATGTTTGACGACGATGTCTTGCAGCAGCGTCATTGAGGCTTTTGAGAGTGCGACAAAGGTTGGCCCGCGCTTTTCCGGGAACTTAGCCAAGGAGGTGTACGGCAGCGTAATGAACCGGCCCAACATACGTATCAGATACGGTGGAATATCGTTGTCTTCTTCCGTTTTGACCATCCTTAAGCATTCCATCACCCGATTCTGGAGAGTGGTCATAGTGTCCAAATCCGAAGAGTAAGCGACTTCGTCCGAGTTGACAACGCAAGCTTCGAGGTTCGCGAGCATCAAAGGCAGATCCTTGTTAAGGAGCCGATCAGAGAGGCGGTAGATCGCTTTGAAAGCCTCTGCATACGCAATGAAAGCGTCTTGGTTGTCCTCTTCGTGTACCTCTTGCCAAGCGTCTGAAGAGGAAAAGTAGCTTCTCCATACCGCTGCAGTCTTGAGAAGAGGATCGGTACTCCATACCTGAGCAGTTTCGGTGGAAGAGAGAACACCTGTCATTGTGGCGAACACCGAAGCCCCTAACGCATGCGAGTGGTATTCGAAGTAGCGGTTCAGGAGTTCCAGTAGCTCTGACCATGCGTCACCAAGCTGAGACGTATCCAACTTTTCCATGTAGGTAGTGTTGAGAACGGTCAGGGTCTGAAGAACCGCCTTTGTAGTCTCATCCCATTCCTTGTGGTCGTCTTTGCGTGAAGTTTGTATCCGAATATCGTTCTGGACGTTCAAGTTGGCCTCCACCATACCGAACAGGATTGTACGAAGGCAAAGCAACCAAACTTCCGATGACAACTGATCAGAACAGTTCTCGAAGATCCGCTGTATAGTTTGGATCGCAGAGTGCCGCACCTCAATGCGTTCATCCGTTGTGATGGATGAGAGATTTAGCAGAACTTGAAGCCACAATGCCGCAGTCTTTCCTTCTCGTGAATGTGTGCTTACGGCATCTTCGACGTCGTTCTTGCCACTAGTCTGAGTAACAACCTCCACCAATGAGGAGAGATCGGTCCGTGACTGTAAGTAGTCTGACACATTCCAAAAGAAGGTGATCGCCTATAACAAATTAGACACTTATCACGCATTTAAGAAAGAATCACTCACGGTGAGAGACATGTTCAAATCCTCTCTTTGGGAGCAGAACCTGCGCAAGAGTTCTAAAAGCGTCGAGAGGCAAGCATCCGGAACAGCAGTCATGAAATCCGAGCAGACGAGATTGGCTGTCGCAAATGCCGATCGAGCAAGAGACCTTGATATAACGTCTGTAGTGGAACTTGTGGCTTGACTGTTTCCAGAGGTCTCGACGTCTTCCGGGTTTTTCTGCGCCGATGGCAATTTTTGTGTGAATACGCTCATCAAGCTCTCAATGACAGAAGTCCAGCCAGCAACTAAGGACTCGCCGCATTGCTCAATCACGCTCTTGAGTGCTTCTAGAGCTATTAGATGTACCCGTATATCAGTGTCGCTGATCGTGTCTTTGTTGACCCCATCATAATGATGGAGGTCGGTAATCTGCTTTTGCAGTGCAGCAAGTATGCGAGCCTGTATCTCTTCGCGTTGGTCGTCGGACATGGAGAGCTCGGCGATCTCCCTAACTGTCCTTGCTAAGATGTCGGCTGCCAGCAGCCTTGTAGGCGTCGCTTTTCGACTGTCAGTGGAGTAGCGTATAACTTCTCGAATCAGGATGTCCCATCCACTATCAGCGGGATCATATTGCGACAATCTGCTTTCGTTCAATGACGCCAGCTCTCCAATTTTGTTCAACGCAAATGCCGAGTCGCGAGAGTTAGCATCTGTATTGAGACCGATTCCCGATGCGCTACCGAGACGCCGATGTGAAACCTGAGGACGGCTGGAGGTAATCGGTGTTCTTTGTCCGCTCTCTGATGATGATACCCCGTTTAGCAGTGAGCAAAGCGCTTGTAGTACCTCGGAAAAGGACTCATTAGGATAGTCAACTGTACTTTCAAAGAGCCTGCGCGCAGCACTCTGGACGGCTGAGGTCTCTGCCTCTAATTTCTCTGTATTGGTATCCATGTCCGCACGGCTTCCAGATCCAGATGCGCGACTGCTGTTCTGGCTCGACAACGCCATCACTAGATCGGCTACTTGTAGCGTCTCAAAGACGATAGACCATGCTGACTGTAGCGTTGGTCCTAGTGCAATTGCAAGGTTGAGTAGAGCCCGCAGGCACAGTAAGTTGCGAGGGCCCAGCGTGGGGGCTGTAACATCGTGTGAAGGGCGCCTGTTCTTGTCGGTGGACATTGAGGAAGCTTGGCTCACAAAGCTGTCCACACTGAGCATCCCTCTCGCATTAGAGAAGATCCCAGACTTCTCATTAGTAGGAGACGAAGCGTTGGCTAGCAGCAAGTTCGATGGGACAGCTGCTTTACCCATAGTAGTGAGGAATGCATCTCGTGGCGTTGAGAGTCTGAGCAGTCCGGCAACCTGAGTAAACTTTTGTATGGCTCGGATCAGAGCCCTGTAATAGTCCGTATCAAGCGTAGCATTAAGGAATGTTGAGCAGGTTGCAAGTACTGCAGGCCAGCATTCAGTGACCAAGTTGGTCGAGGTCTGCACGTATGAGTAAGCCGGGTGATCGGTCAGATCCAGAGGATTGACTGGTATAGTCTTTTTGCGGAAAGAATGAGTCCTCGAAAGCTTTCGAGTGTTTCGATCTGGCGATGCGACATCCGTGTCGTCTTCATTCATTTCCTCGGCTTTGGTTTTCTTCCGGCTTCTGCTCTCATGATGTACAGTAAGAGGAAGAACGAATTTTGCGAGGCTTTCAGAAATGTTGGTGATACATGTCAACACCAGACTGTAGATGTACGTTTCGGGTAGTGCAGGTGGATCGGTTTTGTCGAGGTGTTCGATGCACGGAGTTTTGAGAGAACTCCATTGCATGCTGATGCCAGAAGGACGAACATGGTTGCTAGTATCGCTCACAGAACCACCTATGACGCCAGCTAATGCGCCCGCTTCAGCGACAGCTTGATCCGATACCTCTTCTTCAAAACCAGCGGCAGCTGTTGACTGCTGACCTAAGCCAATCGCGGATGGCTTTTCAGTCGCAAGGCGCACGAAAGCTGCTAGGTTGTCTCCAAATATGTTCTTTTTTCCGCTTTCCGCATCAAATAGGGCATAGATTGCTAGGAGAAGTCTAGAATCGGCGTAAATGCTGCGGAACACCTCAAGACAAAGAACTCTCTTCCATGCCTGAGAGGCCTCAGGATCGAGCATATGGTTCAAAAGACCGAGCGCAATCTCGCATTCGGAGGGAAGCGTGTCAAGATGATACCGAATGATCAGATGTAGTATCCGGATGATGCGCACAGTCACCGCAAAGGACAAACGATCGGATAGAGAGCGGATGATGAGCGGCATTAACTGCGTTCGCATAATGTAAATCTGTTCCGGATGCGTCGTCATGATCTTGTTGTGGTTTGATAGGATTGCTTCGATCAGCTCCAGCGTCGAGGCTGGCGGTAGCGAAGCAAATCGCATGAAGACTGGCTTCTCTCCAACGATGAGTGCGATGAGATCGGTAAACATCTAAACTTCGTCAGTAAAGCTACTGGCATTTAAGAAGATCACAAACCTTGTAGGCATCGTTCGCTGCCGGTCTGACTGAGACTTGGCCATCATCGCCTTTCACCTCGGTCACTGTGGGAATCTCTAAGGCTTTCTCTTTGCATTTGGTCAGCCTATAACACCTATGTCCCTTGACTCAGCATCATACCATCTTCGGACGCAACTCTGTCGAATACGACAATCACCAACTGTTGCAATGTGGCTGCAGCCGTGTTGCTGACAGCAAAGTTCTTCGCATTCTGGAGACTTGAACATATTTGCAGAACAGCGGATAATGACTCGCTGCGTATTTCCGCGGGATAGTTCTGAAGCAGTGAAGGTAGCGCCTGCAGTATCTTCAGCTGGATATCATGACCTGACAGCGTTAGCTACGTCTGAAGCATCCTGCTCGGTCTTTTTACTTGATGGTACAGATTGCTTGAACGCTTCAAGCACTTCTGTTAGCCGTTCCCGTGGCAATGCTCGCGAAACGCTGAGTCTTTGGAGACATGAAATTCCAGTAGATGCAAATTTGGCATTTTGGGTTCCGCAAGCAATCAAGAAGGGCGAGATGAAATGTGGTCGTCGCGAGAGATCTTGATTCCGTCAACACGTGCAGATCAAGTGACAGTAGGCATCTCACCAGCCGAGAGTTGGGCTTCTGAAGTATTGGAAAGCGACTTCAAGTCCTTCAAGGCCGTCTCTGCAGCATTGCGTAGCTCGGTATTCTTGCGTTTTGCATCCTGTATGAGGTTGCCTAGTTCAGCCGCCAAGATTTGAGCTGTCATTCTTTTGGTAGGAGCCGAAGCATCTGGACGGTCCTTCCAGGCAAAGGAGTGACTTGAGAGTTGGGTATTGGGTTGTTGTTCTGTCGAATCGCTAAAGGCAACGTTGTCGCGTCTGGGGCGACGGGCCAAGCGATTCACGCGTGCCAGGTGAGACCCTGGTCCACGGGTGCCTCGTCATAACCATCGACGCTAGCGGGCCCGGCAGGCATGTTTAGACAAACATCTATCCTGCTGCCACCCAGAACTTAACAATTGCGCTTGAGTCGAGTACACTGCCAGCAATCTACACTCTAGCTACATTAGCTACAAAGCTCAATCAAACTATCCACAACCGTCAACAGCTACCAATATCGCATAGCGGGGTCCATCCCACTTCCTCACGCGCCACACCTCTGTTCAGCCTTTACACATAACTACCGCTACTATGGGCGCTAAGGTTCCGCGCAACTTCCGCCTGCTGGAAGAGCTCGAGAAGGGCGAGAAGGGTCTCGGTGCTGGTATGGTAGATCTGTGGTATAGCCGTGGGTAACAGGGTACTGAGAGTTTACAGAGGCCTGTTCATACGGTCTTGATAATGGCGACGACCTGCTGATGTCCGACTGGAACGGTACCATTCTCGGCCCACCACACGTATGTGCTCCTTTTTTCCGCGTCACAATCTGCATACTGACCCCGTCGCAGAGCGTCCACGAGAACCGCATTTACAGCGTATCGATCCACTGCGGCCCTGACTACCCCGACACTCCTCCGGAGATCAAGTTCACAACCAAGATCAACCTACCCTGCGTCAACCCTCAGAACGGAAAGGTGCGATAGTCGGAGGCGTAGATGCTGGGCGCATACTGACAATATCAGGTCGATGGGTCGAAGCTGCCATGTCTGGCTCAATGGAAGCGCGATTTCACCATGGAGACGATACTGATAGAGCTCCGAAGGTTAGCACACCCATAAGCTGAAATTGATTTGCATAATACTAATTGCGCATCAGGTATATGGCGCTGCCTCAGAACAAGAAGCTTCCACAGCCACCTGAAGGCGCGATGTTCTAGAAGAACGCGCACAGCCTGCTCCAGAAAAGATCTAAGGATCAGGCATGATATGGGCATAAGATATGATGCACGAAGGAAATGAATGCGCATGGAACGGAGTTATGGTCTGCTAGCGTAGCCATACAGCCTGACAAGAGATCAGGATTATCAACAACTTATATTACTTCATTTTGCTCCTGTCTCGTTCTTTGCGGAGTCTCTGAGGAAGTTCTTACAGCAGAATATTGAAGTCAGTTAACAGCGTGGCGAATATCGAGTACCTGCATACGCGCAATGTCGTCTTTTGGAAAGAGGTGGTGCGCACGTGATATCTAACATCCCAGCCCAAATCCTTCGCGTTGCGGCGCAGGCCTCGGACCTCCACCACCGAGCCATCTCATGCATGCCCCGATTCCTCCAGCCTAAACGGTCGACACAACACCGCGTAGCAGGTTAGACACTGAGCCTTTTGGTAAATACCAATGAACCCTAACATCGTTTCTAGCAATCGCTCTTTATCGAGCCTTGCTGTCGCGATGTTCCTCCGCTCCGCTCCCAGATGACGACCGAGTCTCTTTGTTCAACGCCATTCGCAACAAGTTTCGGCGGAACAGGAAGATACAGAGCCCTTATCAATTAGGTCTGAGCTTCAAAGCTGGTTATGAGGTTGGTCTATGTTACTGCAGCTTTGAATTCATCAATTGACAATGTACAGACACTCGACCATCTCGATGCCTCCGCTACTGGCAATACAGCCAGCGCAAGCACTCTGACGCAACTGATCTCTCAATTGCCCCGCGGTCTAATACGCGCCCCTCCCATAAGACGGTACGAAAAGACGACGCTGCCAGACCCTCCCAAAGAACGGCTTGCGTGCCTTCCACCCGAGAGAGCCGTCCTCAACGTGCGACCCTATGCAAAAACCTCTGGATCCCGCCGCGTCCCTATCCTCGCCTCCGCAAACGGCGTACCCTTCCTGCGCCTCACGAAGCCGCAACCTCCAGCACTGAGTCGCGTCATCCAACAGCGACTACGGCGCAAGAACGAGCTCTTCGACACGAGGGTCCTTCTGGAAAACTGGTGGCTGCCCATATGCCAGCAGGAGGACGTGTGGGACGTACTCATAACCGCGCAATCGAAGGAGCGCGAAGATACTGTGAAATGGCAAACTGCGGTTCGTGATTCATTGAGGGCGAACCAGGAAGCACACCAGGCGGACATCAGGAAGGATATCTTGATGACGAAGAAGATGCAGAGGATCGTAGATATGGAGACTGAACTTGCGCTCAAGGAGGGACAGACGATTGTGAGGGGAAGGAAGAGGCATCCTTTACGCGTCGTCAAGCCGGAACCATGAGCACAATATACTATATTATGGCTTGCTGTATCTGCGCATCGCAAGATGGGTATATGTTCGACCTGATATACCATGCCAATGCACTGTAGTCACTATGAAGCCGCCTCAATCTTCAACTTCCCTACATCCACTCCGTCTACACCATCGTCATCGTCATCATCATCATCCACCTTGCCGACCAAGCCTCGCTGCCACAGCTCCTTACCCGTCAACTTCTTCTCTTCCTTGACAATCCTCTTCTTCTTATCCTCCAGCTCCTTCTCCTCTTCCTTCCGCCTCTTCTCATCCTCCATCTCCTTCCTAAACCTTTCTCGCCATGCGAGGAACGTCTCTCGTGTGACCGCCTCACCCTGGAACTTCTTGTTCTCTTCCTCCTCGGCTTTGGCCTTGGCGATATCGACGAGGGCTTGCTTCGCGTTTTGGCGCTCCGTTATGAGCAGCTCGGCGCTGTCTTTGAGGACGGTTACGAGGGTGAAGACCATGGCCATGCCGAGGTTCTCTTCTATCGTCTCCGTGAGCGAGTCTAGCAGGCGTTGCTTGTCTTCCTGTATGTCGAGGTATTGGTGTCGTGGCGCGTTGGGCGGTTGTGTTACGTCGAGTCGGGGGGCTTCGTCGGGGTAGTTGGGCGGGTAGGAGACATTGAGGATGATGACAGCTGGTGGACATGAGTTTAAGTCTGTCTGTAGAGATAATGCAAGCGCATACGTTGCTCTTCTTCTGTTTCAACGTCTTCGTGGCGGCCATCGTCGAGCGTTATTGCGATTCGGAACTCTGTCTCGGAAACATCTGCGGAGTGTCAGTATATAGTAAGAAGATGTTGCGCAGGAAAGCGCCACCTGTGATCTCGTCGGGAAAGATAGACTCGAGCACCTCGCGCTCTTCTTTCTGGTCTTCGATACCCATTGTGTGAAGTAGTATGGAAATCAGTACAGTGATGGCATCTGCAAGTGACGCTGAGGCTGCTCTGGTGGGGCGCGCCTTCCCCACGTTAGCTCCGTCCGACCGCCGATCTCTAGAAATTTTTGGGAATCTTGGACCGCTACATCATACATCCACAACACCACACACATCTCACATCATGGCGAAAACGAAACCTACCGATCGCAAGGCGAAGAAGAGCGCAAAGAGCGGCGCAGTAAAAGAATCGAAGAAACCGAAGGCGTCACCAGAAGAACTTTTGATTCAAGCCGCTACCTTCTTACAAACGTCACAACCCGAAGAAGCGCTGGTCGCCGCACGAAGAGCCCTCAACCTACTCCAGCCCGGCACATCGAAACCCTCCGCTGCAGCACTACCTGCACTGAACCTTCTCGGCGAGATCAACGTCGAACTGGGCGACCCAGACTCTGCGCGCGAAGCCTTCCAAGCAGCAATTGTTATCGACCCGGAAGGCGCGAACGATGGCGCTGAGAAGTTCTTATGGCTAGCACAATTAAACGAGGAGGGAGGCGCCGAGAGTGTGCGGTGGTTCGAGAAGGGCATTGAAGTGCTGAAGAGGGAGATCAGTGAGCTGGAAGGCAAGCGGGTGAAGAAGGACGAAGTCGAGGAGCTGCTGGAGGAGAAGAGACAAAAGATAGCGAACTCGCTCTGTGGTATTGCTGAAGTCTACATGACGGATCTGTCCTGGGAAGAAGACGCCGAAGCGCGATGCAACGCTGCCGTCACCGAAGCACTACTTTTCGCACCCGAAAACCCAGAACCACTACAAACGCTCGCATCGATACGCATCTCGCAGCTCAAGCCCGACGAAGCAAAATCCGCACTGACACGGAGTATGGATCTTTGGAAAGATCTCGACCCAGACAATCCCAAGGTCCCAGACTACTCAACTCGTATCAGTCTTTCTCGCCTGCTCATGGAAGCTGAGATGGAAGACGAGGCTATCGAAGTGTTGGAGCGGTTAGTGGGCGAGAACGACGGCAGTGTCGATGCTTGGTATCTGGGCGGTTGGTGCCTGCACTTGCTCGCGGGAAAGCAAAAGACCGAAGGAGAGGAAAAGGTTGCAACACCACTACTGCGTGCCAGTCGCGATTGGCTGGAGAACTGCCTCAAGCTCTACAACATGCTGGAGTGGGAGGACGAGCGGCTGAAGGAGCACGCCGATGAGATATTGAAGGAGCTCAACGACGTACTCGGTCCCTCTACCGGCGAGGAAGATGAGGACTGGGAAGACGCCGACGAAGATATGGATGATGATGACGATGACGACAATGAGAAGATGGACGGCACGTGAATGTGAAAGTATAACTTTACAGGCCGGCTTGGCCGTGTTGAGGCCGCCGGTGGTCAGCGATACGCGGCTCCGCTGTGAATGGGACCGAGATTGGGGATATCGGGCAGCATGGGCAGCAATGTTGGGATGTTACGATCGACGTAGTTCAGGCTGAGCATGCTGGGACATATCGGTGCATTATAGCACAAGCTGGATGTAGTGTAGATTTATTTGATACCCAGGGTGCGTGGATGGACAGCAGACGCGCGACCTGAGGCAGGCAGTTGGCAGCACCAGCGTGGGACGGGGCCCCTGCATGTGGGATGCCGCCGCGAACCTATGTAGGATGGGCACTAGGATGCTGTCAGCGGTGCCGTGACAGCTCCTGAATAGACGAAGCCACACGCCAATCATTCCCCGCTTTGCGAGCTACTGAGGTCGCGTCCCGCTTCGAGGTGCGAACGCGAAGCAGCGGCGCATCGGCGACGTCAACAGGACTTGTGTGTAGGACGAGTCGTCGCATGCGGAGCGAGTGCGCCAGTCGCTTGCAGGGCAGGCAGCCCATTGGCGCGCTGCGCTGAGGGTGTAACACCAAGGTGCGGTGGATGGGATGAGACATGGCCTGCGCTTGGCAGCTCTGTCGACGTCGCCGGCGCCGCCGCCAACGCCACGAATAATCAATCATGCTCGTCGAGACCAAGACCGCCCTGGGGAGTTGCCGCAAAGTCAAAGTGACGCTGCGCCATCGCCCTCGCCCGCCGACGTGGTGCCTTTAGATCCCAACCCACAAAAGTCAACGCGCCCTCGCCGGCCGTCCCTCGCGCCTGCTCCGACAGATGCTCAGCAAGCCCCACACCCGTACACATCGCATTCGACGGAGAGTGCGTCGCAAACCCTCGGCCGCCCGGGCATGCCATGATCTGGTATCTTCTCTATCCGCTGCGTGGGTGAGTCGCTGCTGCCCCATACCACGCGTCCGCCTCTAAACGCTGCTCTAGTACCACTGAACCACCACGGCTCGACACCTCGCACCCCATCCGCCGCGCGTTCCAGGCCCACGGCACTGCCACGGCCCGGCATTGGCTGCTCTCCATTGTCCTGACCATCACCGTCTCCGTCCTGCTCTGCTACCAGGCCGTCTTCCAGGCCGACAGCTCCGCCGCCGCTGCCCTCCGCAATCTCCCCAAGCATGTCTGGACATCGACCACCGAGGTCGAGGGCGAGCGCCCCGCCGATGTCGTCGTGCGCCAGGTCTGGGTCCACGGCGACTACATGAATGCAATTGCCCTGCCGGTGCTGCGCGAAGCGATGCATGTCCAGGAAGTGCTCATCAACGGCGGTTTTGACACGCGAGAGAGCGCTGCGTACGACGACCAGCACATGCTCCAGCGCGATGCCCCGGGCTGCCTCGTGGCACCCGCCGGAGAGAAGTGGGGCTGGCACTCGCCGTTGATGTACTGGGACTGCTCGCTGAGCGCGCTCGAGAAAGACGACAACCTCCTCGATACCATCAACGCCCATAATCGCATCCGCTCGGCACTCAATGTCACCCTGCGCCCGAGCACCGTCTTTGCCGGCAAGTCCTTCTCGGCCACCAAACTTCGCGCCGCGGATGCGTTGGTTATCACGCTGTTCGACCAGACCAACTCGAGCTTGGGAGATACTTGGGACTCACGGTCGCGCCTTCTGGCTGATAAGCTGGACCCAGACTGGACCATCTTCCCGCCCGACGGCCAGGTCGGGCGGAGTCGACTCTACGAGTTCCGGTTCAAGCCGATGACTTTGAACGACGACTTGTTCTTAGCAGCGTCCTACCTAGTGACCGCAGTCTATGTCATATGGAGGATGATGCAGCTGCGAGCAGTCAAGAGTTGGTTTGGTCTGCTTGTAACCATATGTGCCAAGGTATACTCACTCCCACATGCTACTACTTCCACTGCTAACCACCGGGCAGATGTCCATCTGCGTCATCGCCAGTTTCACCCTCTGTACCTATCTTGGAATTGATTTAGCGCGAATACCCCGCCCATGGTTTCCTGGAGTTGTCTTTTGTTTTGGATTGGGAAATATGTGCGTACACTGTTGCTCCTCCCCAACCTGGCTGACACAACTAGATTTCGTTTGATTAATGTCGTCCTCGAGACACCCCCGGAGATGCCCCCTCACCAGCGAATCGGGAACGCGCTCGGTGAAGTCGGACATCTATCTCTTGCCATTGCCTTCCAAAATCTGGCCCTTTTGTACCTTTGTTCCCGGCTCGTTTCACCCTGGGTAGCCGACTTTTGCGTCTTCGCTGCCGTCACCCTCGTATTCGACCTTGTTTTCCACTTGACCTTCTTTGTCGCTGTTCTCAGCGTCGACGTGCAGAGAATGGAACTTTCAGACTCACTGGACCGCGCCGATCTCCATCAAAACAACAACAAGAAAGGAACGGAGCGGCAGTCTTGGCTTGGAGCGTTGTTAGAAGGTACCCTGCCACTCAGCACGCGCTTTGCTGGCACAGTCGCGATCTGTTCCATTATTCTCGCTATTAACTGGCATTTTTTCGACAACGACGGCAAGCAATTATCCATCGATACGCTTCGCCGAAACCTCACAATGAGGAGACGGAGGCGCACCCCTGACAGCACATGGAGCCCACCACCAATCAATCAGGCTAGGACACCCGCTGATTGGCTTAGGATTCAAGATCACAATACTGCCCGGGAACTATTTGGATTCATCAAGCCGGGTGCTTCAAGCTTCATAGCCCGTATTTACGACCCCATCCTCGTGGTTGCGAAAGGGGCATACGGGCGCGACCGACCTCAGCCGCCGCTGTCTTTCACCGATGGAGTCCGCCGCTTTGCGCAAGCACATGCGTTTCCGGTAGCCTTGCTCGTCGTTACGTTTATCGCGACTGTAACATTATTTATGAACTATCTTCTCTGGACTGGGCTCCCGAAAACTTCTGAAGAGACAGAAGATGACGAAGTCACATTGTCTATCAAGACATTGCCGACGCCGCAGAATCTAGACGTTGTGCAATTGGCTTCTTGCTCGAGAGGCCATCTTGCCAGCATATCTCTTGACCGGAGCACTGCACTGTGGCTACATGGCCGCGGAGGTTATCTGCATACAACGCTGCAAACAGCAACGATGAAGCCAAAGCTCTGGCCCATATATGCTACGGCTATGGACGATGGTGGCAACATCCTTGCGATCTGTGCAGACACTGGTCAGATCGGCTTATGGGACATCCCAGCATCACGATTCCTTCTGTTTCCCAAGGTCGATATTCGTGGACAGGTGCCCGTTCTCTTTACCTTTGCCTACCTCAAGACACGTTTAGATGTCGAAAAGCTCTACCTTATCATCATCACACCAGACGGACACCTGACCAGGCTCGAAGCACGTACAGGCATCCACTATACCAGGCGCATATCAAGCAGTCCCATCGTCTGTACCACAACGTCCACCTCACTCAAGGGCGACACCAGCGTCGTGTTTGTAACTAAGCCTGGCGAAGTGCACATCCTGCCGCTTATGGAGGAGGGCAATACCATGTCCGAAGTAGTCGCCGGGCTCGACCCCGGGCCACCTCCAGGCAGCAATCCCGCGAAGATTCGATGTATAGAGGCTGTTCCTAGTCTGGGCCTCATCTTTGCACTCCGCGACGAGGAGGCTGAAATATTCGACTTCACGAGCCGAGCGCTCGTACACTCTTTCCAGATCGGCCACGTCAAGCCGCACTCCTTCAGGGTCTTGTATCCTATGCGACGGACATGTCAATGTGGAGCTCCAACAGTGAACTCGCTTGCTGTCGCATACACAGAGCAAGACACAGAGCACATGATCATGCAGAGTTTCTCCCTTGACGACAACACGTCGTCACAAATATGTCTCGGAAAAGCGCTGGACAGGGAAAAGCACGGATGCCGTGGGCTCGACCATGCAAAGGAGGCCGTACATTATGTCGAGCCTGTCGGAGTGTGGGAGGCAACGGATGCGCTCAGTGTCGTGGGGATCAGGAGGTGTTTGCAGTCACCTACGCCGTCGTCGACGACTTCGGGCACTGATGAGTCTAGTCAAAGCGTGGATCCAGTGGCGCTCGCGTCGGCGCTCAAGCAGCGAGCTCAAAACCAAGGCAGTCCGAAGGCCACCAAATCCTTAAGGGGAGTCTTTGCCAAGGGCAGTCGAAGAGGCTTCGTTGGCGACAGTGACACATGGGAGGCCTGGACACTCTCAAGCACAGGCGAGTTTCGCTCACGACCACTCGTTCCGGATGACCTGGACGGCACCGCAGAGGTCCCTTATGAAGACGAGCTTTTCGTAACAGCTCCTGGGCCAATGACTAGACTAGGGAAGCGTAGCGTGGTCGTCGGCTTTGGTAACACTGTGAAGGTCATCACATTGGGCAAAGAGTCGTTCGATGGCTTGACAAACCTCCAGAGTAACGCCATGGATATTGGCCTTGGGTCGTACAAGTGGAGGGCCCGCAGAGGCACTGGCAGGAAAGTACAGTGAGAATTTGCATATGTTCGGCGCAACGGTACAGGTGGGCTCGGGCTCTGGGTGGTGGGTGTGATCTACGTGCAACTTCAGCTCTGGTGTTAGACTACGGATATACCCTATGCGCAGTAAGCGCGGCGTTTTCAGAGAGGCTCTTTCGGCCTTGGCCTCAGTGGGGAGATTAGCAATGTACCATATGATTGTTCGCAGCGACTGGAGGCTTCACTCGAGCGTCATGGAGCCAACGTGTACATCAACCTGTGGCAATGCTCCATCAAGCAGGTGGTTTGCCGACACCCAATCGGCGGCATGAAGCGCACCTATAGCTTGAATAGCGAGAGTCGAAGCCCCGCAGTAGACGTCGATGTGCATAGACAGCTACAAGTCGTACATACCGAGCCGGCTATCCGCCTAGGCAGACGGCAGTGGTGAGCAGGCTGCATCGCCGTGTGTAACAACGAGCGACAGGATCAAGCCTGGTTTGGACCGCGCGTTGGGTGCATTGCATTGATGTCGGCAGGCCGAGGGACGTCATGTGGCGTGTGGCTGAGGCGAGCAGTCGTGCAAGGGCAGGGTCCTCAGACGGTGTGGTTTTGCGGGGCTAGAACAGGGGAAGAGCCCTTGAGAAAAGGGCCCACGCGACCCCCGTGGGTAGGCGATCGAATCGCGGCACATGCTCAGTCCAACCCTCCCTCCATACAAGACATCCCGACCGCCCAGAGCCGCAGGTGTCTTCCTTTTTCTTCTGCGCGCAGCCATTGCTATCCCCAATTGGTACGTCATGGCCCCCTCCGACTGCGGGTGCTGGTGTTCAGAATTTACCCTTTCACATGCGCCGAAGCCACCATCTATGTCCTCTCAACTCCTCCACCGCCCAGCCAACACCACACTGCACCATGAGACTAACCATGGCATAGTTCAAACATCATTATGAGTAAAGCACAATCACCATACGATTCACTCCGGAACATACCGCAGTGCTACGACAACTCGGACTCGGAGAAGTCGGCCCTCAACCTCATACTTGCGCTGCGGCCAGAATGGGAGGAAACCAAGGACACAATTGAGTTTGTGCGGTTTACCGATGGCATTACGAACACGGTATGCATATGCTCGCAGCCATGAACTGGCCACGGCCCCCTTTCTCCACGCATGGCTAAGACGACGGATAGCTTCTGAAAGCGGTGAACAACCTGCCCGGCCTGTCCAAGACCGAGGTCGACGACGACGCGATCCTGCTGCGAGCATACGGAAAGGGAACAGACGTCCTCATAGACCGCGAGAGTACGTGACCATGCACCGCCGCCACGACCGAGACTAAACAAGAAAACTAGAGGAAACCCGCTCCCACTCGCTGCTCGCACGCCACAATCTCGCACCCTCTCTGTACGCGCGGTTTGAAAATGGTCTCCTATACAAGTACATTCCAGGCGACGTATGCACGCCTGAAGATTTGCGACGGCCAGACATATGGCGAGGAGTAGCACAGAGGCTGGGAGAATGGCATGCCACATTACCTATATCGAGCATTAGCAGCACATGTCCCGCGCCCGCACAACTCACATCTCACAACAACAAGCGTGCGTCTCTAGCCGCCATGGCGACCCTCACGCCAGGCAAGCCCATCCCGAATGTGTGGACAACAATGCAGAAATGGATCCTCGCGCTGCCGACCGACACAACGGCGCAGGCCGAGCGGCGCGATGAGCTCATGCAAGAACTCGAAAGCTTAGTAGCGTTATTGGGTGACACGCCCGGTGTAGGCGGCTCGAATCCGTTTGTCTTCGCCCATTGCGACCTCCTCTCCGGCAACGTGATTCTCGAGCCTACGCCGTCCTCTGCCTCTGCCTCGCGCCGATCTAGTGCGTCGAGCGGGTCCGACTCGCCCGACACTGCAGCTGCATGCGTGTCGTTTATCGACTACGAATACGCGACTCCTGCTCCTGCTTCCTTTGACATTGCAAACCACTTCGCCGAATGGGGCGGTTTCGACTGCGATTACAACGCCATGCCCACACGCACCACTCGCCGCGCTTTTCTCCGCGAATACCTCCGCAGCTTCAACGCGCACCAGAATAAAAGTTACAAGGAGGAGGAGCTCGAGATGCTGTTTGAGCAGGTCGATCGCTTCCGTGGCGTTCCAGGGTTTTATTGGGGCATCTGGGCGTTGATCCAAGCGCAGATTTCGCTCATCGAGTTCGACTATGCGAGTTACGCTGAGATAAGATTGGGTGAATACTTTGCGTGGAAGAAGACGCTTGATGGGGGTGTGGAAACGGAGAATGAGCGTATGGTGCTAAGGGAGAAGGTTTGGGCGTCAGAAGAGTAGGCGATGGTATGACGTTCCCGGCATGGGCATGCCTAGGAGTTTGGAAGAGTGGAGAAAGCTGGTTCGGCTGAACATTCAACATGCGATTTTCCTTATTGTTCCATAGGGGCGGGCGCCTTTTTTTTCTTGTTCGCTATCAGCTAGAGCACTCACCTTGTTCGCCGTTTTTTTTTTACAACACGCTTAGTACGTTTAATACCAACTTAGAGCACGTTCGTTATGGGACTGTTACCAACTTGAGACTCTGGAGCCTACATCGATGTTAGGTCACACACTTTGCAGTTTCAGTGGGTGGTGGTGGTGGTGGTTAGTGGAGGAGTTCGTGATGTTATCGAATAGGAGGAGAGTATATAGAAATGGTATAGAGGTAGAGAAACACGACAGAGTTGGAGGAAGGCGTTGCATCATTTCTTGTGACTATGCTTAATATCATTGGAAACCCACAGACGCTTACAAAGACCTGAACGCTCCATGATATACCCCTTATTTACCCATTCTTCCACACTATCTTATGCGTCCGAAATCTGGGTTGCGCGCAGACTCGATCTTGCCCAGGGCGCACACCCTGTGCACCGGCACAGTATTCAACTACCAAACCATCCTTGCCAGAACGATTTCTCAACAACCTGATTGCCAGCAGCAGGTTCCGGCGAGGAGGGTTGCTGATGTTCCTCAACATTCTGTACGACTACCAAGATATATGTCAGTCCAACATCTTTGCAGGATTGCATGAAGACTTACCTGGCTGGTAGCGGTACCGCGAGACGATAGCATTCATCTCTTTCTCGATTCGTTTGTAGTCAAAAGCATCCAATAGGTTCCAAACTCGAATCATAGCTATGATGTCCTCATGCACCTTGCTGCAGGGACCTTCGTTGAACCATTCAGCGGATTTGTCGATGTCCTTCTTTTCAACCTCTTTTTGGTCGTTGTCGCATTGCCAGAATGCATGGTCCAGGATGATTATGGTATCAAGAGCGCACATGAGCAACGCTCTGCCGAACTGGGGTGCGGATACTATGGACACAGCTGCAACGCTCGTGGCAACTACAGCTCCAGGCACAGCTCCGAAGCCTGACCCTACCATGACGGCACCAGCGCCACCCAAAGCTTGCGTAAACAACTGCACCACGTTTGCAGTAGTGTTGCTGACCAGAACGTTGGCCATACATCGCCAAGCGATGTCTCCGCTGATGCCGTGGAAATTGAAGATACCACTGATTGCGCTCACAATCATTGGTGCTACCACTGTGGTTGAGACACTGCCGGAATAGGCCATCGGAACCGTGCTCGTTCGTACGGCGTGCTTGTATAATCGCAGAGACTCTTTTATAGCTGCTTCGACCTTTACGTCGACCAGGACTCCCTGTGCTTGAGAAAACATGGCTCTCACTTGGTTGTTCTTCAGATTGCTGGATGTGACTTCAACAAGATTCTTGATGGATTCCGCATCCTCTGCACTATCATCAGCTCAAACATCCTAAAAGACCAAAAGCATTCAATGCTTACGCTCGCTTGTGAAGATTGGACCGGCCATGCACGGATACCCTTGAGAGGTGTCCACGAATGCCTCCTTGATCTTCGCTTTGAACAGATCAACACGTTCTGCGACTCTGGCATCAACGAACCTGCGACGCTCCTTATATGTCAGTTGGTCGTCGTTCTCCTCCTCGGGCACTTGGCCCTTGTACGTCGCCCTGAGTAGATCCACTTTGGAGCATATCACCACGACAGGGATGGTACTCTTGCACTCGTTCAGCACTCTGAAGAGATCTCTGTCGGACTCGCGGGCGGGTCGACTTTCGCGTTCGGATCCGGCTAGTATACAATACCTGCTATAATTAGCCTCCACGAAACTCCATAAAAAGAAGGACTTCATACCAGATGGTATGGACTCTCAACGGGAGATTAGGCTCTCTGGATCGGGTTGTCAAGAAATTTTTCACAGCGCTGGCTTCCTTGTTGGAAGCTCCGGACTGGAAGCCTTCCGAGTCGTGAACGATGTATGGAAGATCTGGTCCCGTAATCTCTTCCTCTACATCATGCTTTTGGTGTGTATTGGCATTGACCTGAGACTAGACCAAACAATTAGCAATGAGAGCTGCTTCGCCGAAGGGGACGTACAAGGTTGCCTTTGAGGACTTTGTTTATTAGCGAAGACTTTCCTACCCCGGCATCACCACAAATCAAGATACGGACTTTCTCGAGCCGTTTCTGCATGGCCGGTGACGAATTTTGCCAGAAGATTTCACCTTCATCTGGAATGGCCCGGTGACGAAACAAAGCGAGAGATTTGGAGAAAGCCCAGCCGCCAGACACATGGCTGATGCTGGGGTTCTCATCGAGCACTTGATACACAGATGGATGGATGAAAGTCCCGACAGGTGCTACAGACGAGAGTCAGCTACGATAATCGGATAGAATGGGGCATACATACAAGTGGGGCAATAGCCCATCAATACGTGTTCGTCGAATATGCATCGAGGTTTGATTGTCCAAACTAATCTGTGCGCAGGACCCCAGTACGAGCTGTTGATCTTCACCTTGAACTCGTCCTTGCGGTTCTCATGTATGTCGCAGAGATCCCAAAGGCGAACACTAATTCCATTTTCAAGTGTCAGGGACGTTTCTGACGGCTTGCTCGAGGTCTTTTGGCGCTGCGATTGTGGCGGCATGACCAACTTCACGGGATCGTCCATGTAAGGTTTAGGAGGCTCCTGGATGTACGCTGTCTCTTTGTATTCCAGCCCAATTGGTCGAAATCCAAGCGTGAGACCAAGAGCTTCGGCTTCAGAGAGCACCCACTGTAGTGGATAAAGTGACAGACCATCCTTGGAGTTCGCGCCTCCTAGGTCCTCATGTGTACCAACAAACCAAGCCTGTAAGATTCTGTGTTTTGACGATGCTGCGTTGATATCGGGTGTCGCCGTCTCTGGTTTGAACTGCTCTCTCTCCTCATTGAGGGCCAATGCATGACGGTAATGCTGAATGTGGGGGTGGGGCAAAACATCGAACAAGCCATGGTCTGTGAATGCCTTCACAGTGTCGAAAGCCCCAACAAAACGTACTACGGGAGGTGTTGTACTGCGGATGAAGTGATGATGGGTCTGTCCGTTTACGTTTTTGTTCGGCGCTCTGACATCGGGGTAGAGCTCCAACATCTCTTGGTAATGCTTTGAGAAATCGTGCAAGTCCTTGGGTACATGCATGTAACAAAGGAGGTTCGCCACGGCACGAACTGTAAATGCGCCACGGCTGAATCCGAAGAAATAGATCTCGTCGTTCGGGCCATTGGTATTGCGACAGCAGTAATCGTACACTTTTTCGATCTCGGCTGGAAGTCCAGACCCAAAGGCGCCCGAGAACAAGTTCTTCATGGCATTTCCCTTATCTCCAAGACCATTGAAATACATTCGTTGCTGTTGCCACCGTTTTCCTGTCACCTGGTCCGTAACAGGGCCTTCTTTCACGGATGCAAAGGCTCGAAACACCGTGCTGATATTCCCTTCTGGGCTTCCGAACGTGCCATCTGGCCCACCCCAGGTTCCGTCGACGCAAACGATCAAGCGCGTTGGTAGGGGCCCGTCCTGAATCTTCTCCGCAGGTGGTGCGGAGGCCATCGAGGGGTTCTGTTGCGCTTTCGATTCGAGGAGGACAGAAGACGGAGCGTAATGGTATCTCACGGCAAGTATGACCAAAACAGCCAGACATAGCCAACCCCATTGAGAACCTGTCTCGGATGCGGCACTCATGATGGGGAAAAAGTTGTAAATTTTCAGTTTGCTCAAATGATGTGAGGCGATGAGAGGGAGCGCGACAGCCCCATGCCACAGTCAGTCTGATCTATACCGCTCGATAGCCATTCTCATTTCCTAGGATGTCTGGACCCGGAAACACTAGAAATGGCGTCTGTAGTGCATGCCAGTGGCGCTCGTCCTTCTCCGGCTGCCGTGTGCTGTGGGCAAGGTATTCGTCGTTCGGAGCTGTGTGCAACAATGGTTCGTGTGCCTGGGCCGTGTCGGCTCAGCCTCACCTGAAGCAATTATGAGCAAGCGTCTAGAGCTTCATACACTAATTCTTAGTTCCAGGAAGTCGCCCATTCTACCGCATTGTGGCTGCGTGTTACGAGCGACATGTGCTACCGGCATTTGAGAAGCGACGTCCTCTCAAGTCACCCATCTTTAGGAAAATGCTCTTGCTGTACGGATAGCATGATTTGCAAGCTTGCAAACTGCACTTTCTCTGGGTATGTTGTATACGTTTGCGGCGAAAGAAGGAAGCGGGACGCGCCTGGCCGTGCCACGCCACATGTGGGGCGGACTCGCCTGGGCAGACATCGCAGGGCTGGAGGGCTGGGTGGCTGGTCAGCCGCAATACAATAAACCCAATGCATAGAAGGAAGCCTGGCTTGCAGACGCCTTGTTTGGGGTGGCTTGCAGAGCACGCGTCCTCACGACCGGTGCACTCGCATCGCGCGCTCATTCGTTCTCTACCCCGCACAAATTAGAATGTGTAGCTCCGGACCACGAATTACAACACGATCGCGTTGAGTGCTGAGCAAGGTATGGGCCGGTGGGCGCCTCGATATGCGGCGACAGCCACGATGGCTTCTTGAGCGCAGCTGAGCCCAAACTTCGGCACAGTTCGCGGCTCGCTGTTTACCTAGGTATGCTCGTGACGCAAGGTGAGGCCGATGTCTCCGATTGTCGATGTTAGTGCGCGTACACTGGCTTTCCCCCGGGACATGAACAGAGTTAACAACCGTAACGTCTCTTTACATTTGCATAGTTCTTCATCGACTGAAGCCTATTATGGAATCTATGTTTTCGTCTAATATCCGCGAACACGGCAGCATACCGTGGGACGACAAGTACATGAAGATTGGCTCCGGCTACGATCTCTACAAACAGCAGTCGCTGCGCTCGCCTTTTTGGCCATGTCACCCTTCCTCTGAACTTCCAAGTACGGAACTGCACACTCTGGAGATCAGCAGCAAGATATTGCGCGATGAGGAAACTTTACTTCAATACATGACCTCTGACACACGGGCACTTGCATCGGTCTTTACTGTCTTCAACCTTAAAGCCTCCCTGGAGACACTCAAGACCGCTCGATGTAGCAAGACGTCCATGACAGTGATTAAGCGTTGCACTATTACGCTGCCTGCTGAGCATCATGAGCATTTGCTTGAGCTCTCTGACGAAGCAGAGTCCTGTTTTGGGCGGCTGAATTGGTACGGGGAAGACAACGCACAAACCTTCAAGACAAGGTACGGCCAGTACTGCATCACTGGAAGAACTCGACAATCCACGTTCTTTGCCGTGAGCACCTACTCAGCCGATACACAGCAGGAACTCGACCAGTTTGCCAGTAGGCTTTCGGCGGACTTCAACGGAAAAACGGTGTCCGTCGAAGCTGCATCTTCCTTCGAAATGGGTTCATCCCACAAATCCGCTAGCATCAGGGAAACGCATGAAGTCGTCGTCGTTGGATGCAGTTCGCGGAACTTGCAACACCGGCTCCACACAATCGATATTCAGAAAGCTTGGGTCGACTTCCTTGAGCACTACACGCCTATACCAGTCCTGGCGCAAATTACACACTATGCCAATATCGACATCAGAATCAAACATCCGCAGGGGTCGCTGTCCATCCCAGAAGACTTTCGGAATGCAGCTGAGCTTGCCCAGCTTCTCCAGGTTGCAGCTCGGTCCAATCGTCTGGTCGGCGCTCGAGCCCTAGAGATATCTGTCCAGTCGACGATTTTGAAGCTGGCTGATCTACACGTATACGCGGAAGATAGTGACGAGGCCCTTCAACAATGCGTGGCGACTCTAAAGAACGTCCGAGAAGAGCTGAGTGGAGTGTGGGATCGACGGCGAAAGGTGGCAAAGGTGATGACTGAAACAGAAGGCCAAATTGAGAAGTGGAAGTTGTAAGCAAATTCCTTCTTCATAAATGGCTGCCATGAGACTGATTGACTTGTAGAAACAAATGGGTGAAAGCCCACCACACCCCACAATGGAAGATTGGAATCTGCCCTGATGATGTGCACGAAAGTCTCCGCAATGAAGTCATAGAGTATCGAGAGGACTGGGACCCTGAGAGTAAGCGTGATGGTATGCCCGTGTGTCTCAAGAATGAGGTGTCCATGTGCCTCCCTGGACGCCGAATTGTTGGAGCACAGGTTGAGAGTGGTTGGCAAGATGATACCAATGGATGGTGGCGAAGGACCTATGGGTCTTTGGGAGAAGACACGCTTGCTATTGGTTTCGAGACTCAACACTACCGCGGTGGTAGCTGGGCTTTGATTGTATGGGCGGTTGACAATAATATATACATGGAAGCCTGATAGTATCTTGGACAGGGTCATGAAGTCGCGCTAGGTACATATGGATTTCGGAGGTTGTGAGTAGCTCGTCTGCGTCGCGTCACCGCAGTACCATGGGACGAAGAGCGGTGGAAGCAACAAGGTCTTCAACCGTGAGTCTCAAGTCAGAACGCGCTCCTGGTCCACAGTATAATGCTAGCATCATTCGTAGCCTGTCTATCGCCTGTGATGGTTGCTCGTCATTTCGCTTACTACATCTCCTGCAGAAATGCCCATTCCTTCACATACGACCATAGGACAATGAGAATTAGGCTTCCCGTCCGCTCAGCCATATACAAGCATTGTACCGGCGGATTAGTAGTTAGGTGGGTGACCACTAGCGAATCCCCGCTGTTGTATGTTTTTGCAGTTCTTTGTTGATGAAGTTGTTTTTTTTTGCATGTGGGGCGGCCGCGCACACTGAACTTGAAGGCCCGGTGGAATGAGAGGCGCTAATGAAGTCTGCCCTTGGTCGGAAAACGCGAGGCTGTGTTGACGAAGTTTCGGCCGCATGTCACGCCGAAGGAGACGTCCTTTCCGGATTGGAGGAGCTTCCATGCTGCCATAAGCTCGTCGGCCAGAGCTTCTCTCCAGGGCCTCCAGAATTGATTGAGTTTGGTATGTCCACCAGTAAATGTCACCATGTACCTCGGAGAAGCGATTCGTCATGCCGTACTGAAGCTTTTGGAGGTGGATTACTAACTCGAACTGGAGTGCTGAGGTCTGTAGCTACGGCAAAAGCATCCTCACGTCGCAGGCCCAGCCATCCAGACCCACGGAGATCAACACAGGCTTGATGCCGGCCTCATTCGCTGCCTGTATGTTGCCTGTATGTCGCCTGTGATGGCCATAGTAAACTTGAAAGCTCGATGGAAGGCAAGGCGCTGATGTAGATTGTCCTGGGACATACTTTTGTTTATTCCCAGTGATGGGAGCTGTCTTGTTGTGCAGTTTGAGCAGCGGTGTAGTACAGCTGATACGTTGGTAGATGGCAACGCGGTCCTGGCGACGTGATGCGCAAGAATTGCCCTTCCGACGATTGGCAAGCCATCATGGATGCTTGCTGTCCCAGCTTGCCATTCCTTTGGGGGATATGATGAGCTTCTATCCACGATGATAATAGAAGCGGGCTGACGCGACTCTGCTGCTGTGGTCAAAGGGAAGCGGTAGCTGGTACTGCTCTTGCATAGATCAAACGACGAGGCTTTTCGATATCTCGTCGAAAGCCTCCCAGTTTCAAGATACGTTGACGAATACAACCATCTTTTATGTTTCGTACGTCACGCCAGAAAGCACCCTGGAGGTACTCGCTAATATTCCCGTTGATACACTCATATCAACAAGGACTATGTATACGCCTGAAGTACACACGAAGGCGCAGACAAAAAGGGACAGACTCTTTGTATCTGCCTAGGTGTCTCTCCAAGGAAACTGTTGTTATACGCAGGTGCTGGGATATATCGCGTGACAGCCTCGTAACAGCTGTGCAGTACTGCAGGTCCACCAGGGTAGCCATTCCACGCGGCATAGTGTGCGAGGTACTTTCTTCCAAGCTGCGGAAACCCTTCTCTAATTGTGGTTGTACCGTCTTTCCAGCACTGCGGCGGAGCCTTGGAAGATCGGTTGATATGACACTTGGAGGGGCGCCATTGGCGGCGTCGGCGGTCAATGAGAAGCGGTATAACGTTTCGCGATCGGATGGAGGGCCTCCCTTGCATCGGTCCTCATGCATGGCTAGGTCGTAGAGGTCGGCATAGAATATACCACAGTCGTTTTTTTTCGCACTTGAGTGAAGATGAAATCTCGATGCTGTTTAATCCTGTGGCTTTGTGACGCAGCTGAGAAGCTGTCTTCCACAGCAGGAGAAGGAAGTTGTAACAGCCGTGGAGCACTGCGGCCACATTGAAGGACGTCTAAGCTGCATAGTGAGCTAGGTATCTCTTGCCAATGGAAGGCCATCCTGGAGGCTGTTGATTCCGGCCTTCCAGCTTTCCGGGGCTTTCGCCGAAGAGCGATTGACGACTTTGACGCTCGGAGGCTCCCTAGCAGCCGCAGTCAAGGCAAAGCGGTATGATGTTTTACGCTCTGGTGATGACCTATCTCCCTCGCAACGATGTTCATGCATTGCTAGTTCGTAAAGGTCGGCATAGAAGCCGCCACATTCGTTTTTCTTGCACTGGTATGGCCCTCGGTTGTACTTGGTGTGGCTGCGTGTGTGGTTCGCCAACCCTGTTGCGGTACGGGAGGTATGCGTACATCCGATTCAACATTGTAGCCATCGAGACCGGGTACCTTCAGGCTGCCGTCTAGAAAGGGTATTCGTTGGTGTGAATCTGACTTCCGGCGCTTCGAAGCCACATCGTCGTGCGACTTGTCGGGGCGGGCGCTTGGTGAAGAACGTATCGATGCTTCTTTGCATGGAAGTATTAATACTTTTTCGCTTGGATAGTCATGCCGCGTCGAAGTGAAACGAGAGGTGGCCAGAACTTGTGTCGCAATTTGCAGCATACGTATCACTATATCTTAATAACTAGTGAGTTTTCAAGATAACGTATGCTCCTGCCCTAAAATATTCTCCGCGGAACGCCACAAGAATTGTAGCTACCCCCCGTTGTGGGATGGTAGTTATGTATGACTCGCGCTTGCGCGACGGGCTCGCCGTCTATCGTGATTCATGCATATCCAGTTCGTAAAAGTCGGTGTGAAAGTTTCTACAGCCCTCTGCGCATCACTGGTATGGGCTGCGGCTGTCTTTTCGGTGAGCGCGCGTGGTTTGCTGGCGCCTTAGCTGTCGGGAAGTCTTTATCGCAACCGGTGTGTGGTTGCCATGGGCAAAAGAAAGTAGAATTTGGCGGTAGACTGCACTGCGAATTTTTCTTGTGGCCGTTCGCGTTGTTGTGACTTACGAACATCTCCGGGTCCACTGAACAGGGTGTGAGGAAGCCGTGTAAAGCGTTCGAAGGCGAAGAGGCATTCAGAGGTATTGCCGTTTGGGCGCGACAGGATATTCGGGCTGTGCACACGGCGGAATGTCTCGAGATGTTCAAAAGATATGCGACTCTTGGTTGTAACTTCTTTTGTCCTTGTCGTGGCTGGCTGAGTGCAGTTTCGATAGAGTTGTGCGGGCCATCGAATAAGACAACAAAGAGTGGAGTGGAGTGGAGGAAGGAGAAGTCACTGGCGATTTGTCTGTCTTGAATCTGCGCTAGCGCTGCTGCCTAGTGGATCTGAGTATGCAAATCTGGTGACGGTGATATCCCGGGCTTGCTAGTAAAGTGAGCAGCCGGTTCTCGCGCGAGCCCTATGTCGACCTATCAAGTGAGTGTAAGTATGTCCGCGGGCTCATTGTTATGGCTGACTCTTGCCTTCGCTACACTTGTTGTATCAAGTTGTAGTACTTCGGCAGCATGAAATGAGATTGTGGCCGGAATGGGAAGCGAGATACGTGACTTTACTCTCAACAAGGCCCCAAGCCCGTTTGTAGGCCATCAATCCCAGTTCAGATTATTGATGACTCTCCGTATATGCTGCGCTCCCAACGCCTCGCAGCTCGTCGAGCTGTCGCATTCAGGTCTTCCAGCGTGTAACTGCCTCATCTCATCGCTCCAGGAATGCTCGCCGTTGTGCCAAGTCTCTTGCCTCGCTTCGCTCTCCTTCACCAAGTCCAACAATGGTCGTGGGTTGCTCCCTCCGCCATAGATCTCCGTCTTGAGTGCAGTCTTGACTAGTCTCCTCCAATCCTTTGCCTCGATCTCAATGTTGAACCCCATCGGGCAGTCAAGGGTGCCTGTGTGCAAATGTTGCAAAGCCTGACTGTTGTCGCCGATACGAAATGGTTTCTTCTGACCAGTCTCTCCCATACGCGCGGCTTCGCGATCGACCTCATTCAACACCTTGTTGAAGCGTTCCACTACCGCTTTCATCACAGAAACTATCGACTGTACATTCTGGATCGCAGAATATGATTCTTTTGGACATTGCTTACAATGTATCAGATCCGAGAGCGCCGACATCGCTTTTCGTAAGGGTATGATAACTTGGGGAAAGTGAAAGGTACAGACAGCCTGTAACTCGGTGAGAGTTAGCCATGTCGTTGTAAGACACGTGCACTGCCCTGAATCCGATTGATCGGGAACTGGGTCGGGAAGACTAGTTGGCTGGATGTCCGGTGGCAGGTCAGACTGGAAATTCCATAGTGCTGGGTCGAGGGGCGGGTCCAAATTGTACCTGCAACAACTTTAGCATTGGTCGAGACACATCAAGATAGCTTGACATACATGTTATCAGACCCAGATGCCGTCCCAGACGGATCTTGAAAGGTAAAGTCATAATGCTGTGGCGTCACGATTCCGCATCCTGCCGATCCATCTGACGATTGCACGTCTTGCAGAAGTGAAGGAGAAGTCAGGTTGTCCAGATCTAACAAATTCGGAACACCAGAGAAGTCGTTCCAGACGTTGCTGAAGTCGTCTTGCACTACCGCAGGTAATCCCGTTATCTCGTCCGGTTCGTCCTCTCTCATTCTTTTTCTGGGGCGACCCATCTGCTTTTGCGGCGAATAAATACAATCAATCTTTTCTCTCTCGCAACGAACACATCTTGGAGTGTGGCCAGAGCATTTCAACTTTCGTGTCCCTGGGCATAGTTGAGCGTCGCGCGGGGCAGATGGAAGCCTAGCTTGAGGTACTCACGGCACTCGTCGCAAGCCGCATGTAGTTTTGCCGCTGGTTGCTTATGCTGCTGCACCATTGTAGTGTTGGGTCACGGAGATGCTGAGACCAAAGAAGCAATAGCGCTGAAAGTGGAGATGTCAAATCCAGTATCAGAATGATGTTGTGGTTCAGCATGGGATCGGTGATCGTACTCGGAGGACGCCTAAATTCGCCCTCTGTATGCACATCCCCATGAAGAATGGCTGCGCAGACTAGCCCCACCTTGATGACGGATAACGTGTTGGATTGTCGAATATCGACACATGGGGT